AAAAAAAAAAAAAAGTACCAGTACCATATGTGATATGGCTTAAAACTTAAAGAAAAAAAAATTGTGAGGAATCCCACAATATAGAAAGCCCCATTTCACCAATACCAACTTTCCCAGTATAAACATACAATTCTATTCTCCTCCCCAGAAGTCACTGTAACTGTTAAATGTGTATTTGAGATGTTTTCTGCATATTTACATGGTATAAATAAAAATCCAGTTTTTAAAAAACATAAATGAAACTATACCTTACATTTTTATTACTTGCTTTCTCTTTCTCATCTACTTCTTCTTCTACACACACACACACACACACACACATATTTTTTTGATACCAGGGCTTGAACTCAGGAGTGTGTGACCACTGAGCCACATCCTCAGCCCCTTTTTATTTTGAGACAGGGTCCTGCAAAGTTGCCAAAGCGGGCTCTGAACTCATGATCGGTCTGCGTCAGTTTCCCAAACCACTGGGGCTACAGGCATGCACCACTATGCCTGGCTTCTCATTCACTTCTTAAATCTAACAGTGTGGCAAAGCACTCTTGCCTTCCTAACATTTTAACCAACAATCCCTGGCTTCTGCATTTGACATTGGTTATCTGCTTTTCTGGGATCTGACTCCTCTGTGAAGTCTGTGACTGTGTCCTGTCTCTCTTTCTCTTTTGATTCCTCCTYCTTAATCTCCTTTCCTGATAATGCTCCCATCACAATTACACTTTCTCCTCTGTCAATATTCACTATGAATGACCACAAGGTACTTGATTCTAGCAGGACAACTCTTGTCAGATTCCTGTGTGTCAATGATTTTGCCTGTATACCAAATCTCCCAAATCATTTTCATCAAATAAACAACAGTTTTCATTTTTTTGTATGATATGTAATTTCACTTTAACTACTTGAATCATGTTATAATCAACAAGTCCTGATGCTAAAGGAAGAGGATGGAAATATGCAGGGAAGAAAGTTTGGGGTTAACTATCAGTGAGTGGAAGCTCGATAATAACKATTTGCTTTTTATGAGATATTTTCTTCCCTACAAAACCTCCCAATTTCAATAGTTCAGATCATGAACTCTCAGATAATAATGATTTCATTTTGTGATAAGCACCCAAATCTTTAACCCRGGTTACTCTCTTGAGCTGCAAACATGACTTTCCCTGAGATACAGACATTCCCTCTTGCCCATAAGGCAAATTCACACACATCATTCTAATTTCAGCTCAGATAYCACCTCTGCARTTATGCCTTGCAGCAACTCCCCTGATGGCAGGCAAATTTATTAAAAAAGAAAAGAAAATTCACCAAAAGACATGCCTTTATATATAAGACAAAATCAAAAGCTGTCCTAACAAAAGGGTTATTTAAAATGCAAGTGGGAGTAGGAAGAAAGAGTAGAGAAAAAAAGAAAAGAATATAATTCAACAGAAAGAAATGGAGTTTGCTGCGGGTGGGGATATAGCTCAGTTGGTAAAGTGCTTGTCTGGCATGCATAAGGCCCTGGGTTCAATCCCCAGCACTACCAAAAAAAAAAAAAAAAAAAGAAGGAAAAGAAATGAAGTTTGCTTCTATCTTTAAAAAAAACACTGACTAATTAAAAAAAAAAAAAAAAAGATAAAAGGATACAACCTGGTTCCTGACTGAGTGCTTGGCTGAGGTGCCTGGTTAGTGATGAGATTAAAATGGTAGACAGATGCCAGAATTTTAGGATCAACAAATTATGGGTTTATTACAATTTTTCTCTTGATAATTATCTGCTTATAATATTAGGCCAGGCTTGCACTTTCCACTTTATATCTAGATTTAAATGACATATTTTCCTAAATGATTTTTCAGAAACAAGACATTACCTATGAAAATAAAAGCTACATTTAACTGCATTTGGTCTTACTGTAAAAAAACAATTCAACAGTATCATAATATAGAAGTGTTAACAGCATCTTCCTTAAAAGAGGGAATCCTAAAAAGGAAAAATGTGCATGATTTATTTCTTTTGAGAAATCAAAGCACTTTTACATTTATCCTTTCATAACACATAGGACTAAGAGGAGGAAAGGCTAAGAATGACTGTTTTAAAGATTAGGGAAAGTGAAAGATAGGAAAATTAGTGATTTCCTTCATTCTAAGTTGCATGTTTTTCATACTATGACTTTTAAAAAATCGGATGGAACTCAAACTATTGATTTAATGTCATTTTTTGGTGGGGAGGGTCACATTACAACTATGGGTATAATTTGCATTAAGGAAAAGGTAAAGGATTTAGGTCAAAGTCAGTAAGCAAGAAAGTGGTAGACTCGACTAAAAAAATTCTGTAGAGTTATTAATGTATACTAACAGGAATATAGTGGACTTTTTGGCTTCTTCTTTATTAATTTAATTAAACATATTAGGCCTACTTAATACTAGCTCTTCCCTGAAACAAAAGTCATACAAAACACTTTTTTACCCTCAAGAAGTACATATTCGAGGGCAGAAGCTATACCTCAGTGGCAGAGTGCTTGCCTAGCATGTGTGAAGCACTGGGTTTGATCCTTAGCACCATACAGCAATAAATAAAATAAAGGCATGCTATTCAAACACGACTACAAAAAAAAAAAATAAATAAATAAATAAATAAAATTTTTAAAAAACACATAATCAAATAGAGATGCCTAGACAATTACCCATAAAACAAAAYAGACTGGGATTAACATCAGAAGAATCATACAAAACAAGAAATAAAAATGCAGAAAAGTGGCAGTCACTTCCAGTCAGGACATCAGGAAAATCTTGGCATATAGTAAGAGCTCAATAAATGTTGACTCTGCAGGCCTTACAGAAGACCTGGATAAGACTGAGAAGGACTGACAGATTTTCTCAAGAAAAATCTGTGACAAGAAGAGGGAGCAGCAGGGCCTGGGGAAAATCCCAGAAACCAGTCACTGGCTCTACTGGCAAGGTGGGAAATACAGAGAAAGAAAGCTAGAAAAGTAAATAGGAACTAAAATATGGAATTTATTGAAGCTCAAACTGAAAAACCATGAGGGAACAAAGAAGTTGCCTCCTGACACCTGACACATTTCAGAAAGATTAAACTGACAAGTGAACTGTACTGGTGGAATGACAGTGGGGAGAAATGCTACTTTACAGAGTCAAGTGTCCAATATTCAGTGCCTAACAGCAGCAATGCCGAGAAAGGTATGCCTTCCCTTTGAACTGCTTAGGGAATTTTTGGACAAGTACATATTTCATGAGGGTGGAGCACCAACTTGTTAATATTATAGCCACACTTCTCCCTGCACAATCCTTTATTTACCCATAGTAGGTCCTCAATAAAAAAAAAAGCTGAAATGCTGTGGCTGTGGTTGAGTGGTAGGGCACTTGCCTCATATGGAGGAGGTCCTTTTGAGTTTGGATCTCCAGTACCACTACCACAAAAAATAAAATAAAAGTTGAAAGGTAATCTGCAAAGTCTAAACTTGCATGTTTGCTACTGCTAARATAATCTGTTACTCATCCATTTCTCAAACCTACTCATCTTATARTTAATCTGACACCTTCCCAATCTCATTTTTTAAAATAATCTAAATGGTTTTAGAATCCTCCTTTCTTTCCAAATATACCACAACATTTTGTTACCAAACATTTTGAAAACACTGCTTTTACCCAGGATTTTACATAGAAAGCCTTCCAGTTTCCATTCACATGCAACCCTCCCACCAAAAAATGCKGAAAAAAAGCACATTTATAGAAGCAAGTTTTTCTCTTAGGCAGCAAACAACATGCTTCCATAGTTACTTATAGAACCTGCTACATCATTAGCGCAACTACAAGTTGCTGCTTACATTTCCAAAGTTGTGCAAAGGGTCCAAAGTTGTGCAAGAGTAACCACTGAAATCAGACTCTGGTATATTAATAGTTATAACACCTGAACAGTCTTATGTTTATTATTAGATTCAAAGTAATGCCATAATCGCAGGTATTAAAAATATTTTATAAGTTTGCTGATATATTTGTGAAATATACTAGGATGTTATTTTAATTGAAAATAATTGACTTTTCTTCTGCTTCTAATGGACATGAGGTCACCCGAAAATTAGTAGTTATGACCCAGGACTTGACACGACTGAAATAGCGTCCCCAACATACACACACATAAGCACACACCCAGAGCAGTGATTGGCCTTGCATTACTATCAAGTCAAAAAAAAMCCCAGTTTACACGTGGCAAAAGTAGCCAGAACTCTTTGGTGCTTTAATGACCCCGAAAGGGATTACCCACTCGTCYATTCATGTGATGTAACTTATTGACTTGGGAGTTGAGGGTATTAAAAATAATAATGTTTTTTTTTTTTAAAGGGTTTYTTCTCCATTCAGCTGGCTGTTCTACACCAAGGGAGCGCCTTGTTCAGGCTTGGGCGGGTGCGTGCAGGTCGGAGAAGGTGGGACTAATCAGAAAAATCAAAACCAGGGTCACATCACCTTCTGCTCTCTTTTGCCTCCCTATTTCTCTGGGGCCGCGAAGAGACCCAAGAAAGGAGGCCCTAGAGACGGAGTGCAGTGATTTGAGACCGGCCCTAGCGGCTCGGTGCCGGGTGGCACTGCTGTCACACAGTCTCCCGACCCGGCAACGTAAACGGCCGCCGCGGCTGTCGGCTGCAGGGCTGGCCGGGCGGGGGCCGCGGACCGGGCCTGGCCAGACCAGGCCGCGGCCGCTCCAGTGCCCACGTCACCAGCTCCAGCACTGCGGAAATGGAGCGGCGCGGCCRGGAGGGAGGTGCCGGGTGGAGTCTGCGCCCGCGACGCCGCAAGGCGCCGTTTGCCCCTCGGCCCCGGCCCGAGGGCCGCAGACAGCTGCTGGGCCGCGCCCGAAGCCCTCACCTGTATCGCCGATGATGATGTACTTGAAGAGATAGGCGTACGCCATGGCCGCGGCCGCTCGGTGCCAGGGCACACGGCTCCTCCTCCTGCTACTGCTCCTCCTCCGCGCCCCTCACCCCGGCGCCGCTGCCTCGAAACGCCAGGCCCCGCCCGCTGTCGCCGCCGTGGCCGTCAGCCGCTGGGAGTGAGGGGCCGAGAGGAAGCGGTACAAACTGACACCCGCGAAACCGAGTGAGACAGCGCCCGGCTGAGCCCAGCCGAACAATAACAGCCGCCTYGGCGCCTCCGCCCCGCCTCCGCGCCGACCCGGAAGTGCTGCAGCCGCCGGCGCCGCCGGAGGAAAGGGGAGGAGCTCTGCACGCCGGCCGCGCCCCGCCGGCCGGAGCCCCGCCTAGCCCCGCCGGAGCCCCGCCCCGCGCCGAGCCAGCCGCGCCCCTTGCGCCGGGTCCCCTGCGACCCTGAACGGGGCGAGGCGGGCGCCAGTTCTGGCACGTTTGAGCTAGCTACTACGGCGGCCGGGAGACGCTGGGGCCGGAGCCGCGGCGGGGGTGGGGGTTGTTCGGCTCCGTCGTAATYCGCGCGCGGGCGACTAGCCTTCTGCCCTTCGGTGAGGCGCGGGCACTTTGTGGAAAGGCAGGGGTGACGTTCGGTTGGGTTCAGGACCCTGCCCTGGGATGGTCCTGCCCTGAGATGGTGAAAAGATATTTGATAATGTGGGAGCCACTGACAGTGGGGTGAGGSGCGATGATATTTCTGTTTGTGGGCCCTGAGAGTAGTAATGAACGTAGTTTTTTGTAAATTGGAAACTATAAACCAGAGATGGAAGTAAGTTGTACATCCTTTCCATGAAATACTACACTGTCTCAATTTTAAAAAATAAACCTGATTTATCTTACGTGAATACAAAGCAACTCTTGTGTATAAATATATAAGACGTGCCTAACATTTTTTTAATATTTATTTTTTAGTTGTATTTGGACACAATACCTTTATTTTATTTATTTTTATGTGGTGCTAAGGATTGAACCCAGGGCCTTGCATGTGCTAGGGGAGCCCCCCACCCCCGCAGCACCTAACATTTTAAACCATACACACACACACACACACACACACACACACACACACAGAGTTTATGTACATGTGCATATAATGTATATGTTATTTTTTATGAATATGGGTGTTTTTGTTTTTGCTTTTGTTTTGCAGTGCTGAGTATTGAACCCAGGGCTTCTTTACTCAGGAAAGCTAGGCAAGCACTCTTACCCTGAGTTGCATCTCAGCCCAATTTTTGTTTACCATGTATAAAAGAATAACAGGAATACACTTAAATACCCATATGTGCATAATAAATTTKGGGGGGAAATGGGGACTAAGGGAAGAGATGAGAGGGGGAGGAAATTATACTTTTCACTGAATTTTTTGTGCAGTTTGAATCTTTTTGCAGGGTTCATGAATTATCTACTGAAAACTGTTAAAGGAAAAAGCAAAATGACATTCATTCAACTAATGTACCAATGCATACTGTTTCATGCACTCCTAGGCATAGCAATTGAAGACACACATTTTAAGAAGCCCAGGTTTGGGGACTAGGGGCGTAGCTTAGTGGTAGAGCCATTGCCTAGCATGCCCAAGGCCCTTAGATCCCCAACACAGCCAAAATGGGGAAAAGGGTAGGGAGGGTTGGAGGGAAGACAGGTTTGGGTTAGGTGACAAAAAAGGTTACCAGCAAAGATTACCTAGAGTAGATTGTATTTGAATTATGAATCATTCATTCAGAAATATGAATGCTAAATAAGAGTTTATCAAATGGACAAAAGTCTTTTCAAAGTTTGAGCGTGAAGAACAAAGATTCATGGATCCATTTAGGAAATTTCAAGTTGCTTAAAGAAATTAATTTGCTAACATCTGAAGTTTCATAAAGAAGCTAATTTACTAACATTTGCTATTGGCAATGAAAAGAGAATCATTGATGGGAGAGAAGTGACTGGAATTCAGTGCCCCTGGTTCTTGTTGCCTAATATGCTCTTTTCCCACGAGGGATCTCTCCTTACTGATCTCAGTGATTACTACTGACACCACTGTGTTGGGCTGGCTGTGGTTGGTTCCTGAATGGTTGGATGGCTTGCCAAGTGTGAACTGAACTCACAAGTTTTTCTGGAATATTTGGAAGGGAATTGACTAAAGATTTAGTGATAGAACATAGTAATATGTATTTTTTTTATTTTTTTATTTGTGGGATTGTGGATTGAACCCAGGGCCTCCTGTATGCCAAACAAGTGTTCTACCACTGAGCAGCATCTCCTACCCTTTTTCAAATTTTTTTTTTTTTTTTTTTTAAATTTGACGCAGTCGTCCTAAGGTATCCAGGCTGGCCTCAACTTAATTCCTTCTGCCTCAGACTGCAAAATAGCCAGGCAGGACACAAGAATTTGACATGAAAAGTTAACCTAAAATTGCATAATCAAGTTCACTTGTCTTTAGATTGGAGCAGAGGAGGTCTGTGTCCAAGACTTCAGGTTCCATAGGCTGTTTTTCCTTTCTTGAGTGGCTTCACCCAGGTTTTCCCTGTATGATGGATAAAATACCCAAGTTCTTATTCTCAGAGGAATGGCCTTTACCACCGTAGACTTAATAGGACAACTCCCAGGATGTTACATAAGCCTACCATCTTTAGGAACCAAGAACATTCCCCTGTTGTTCAAAGAGATGTCTTGCTGGACAAGTCCCTTATGCCAGGCCATTAATCTAACCTTGCCTCCTTAATACATATATGGAATTTTACCTAGTAGCCACAAGGGAAAGTGTGAAGGGAAAGAAAGTCAAAATAGATTATATATTATTATTTGGATATCAGATATTCCCTCAAAGATTCATCTGTTGAAGACTTGGTCTGAAATAATGTTCAGAGGTGTCATTTCAAGGAAGTGATTGGATTGTGAAGACTCT